CAGCTGATTTTTTGATTTATTGTAGAGATGGGGTCTCACTGCCCAGGCGGGTCTCGAACCCGCGGGCTCAGGCAATCCACTCACCTCAGCCTCCCAAAGGCGCGGGATTACAGGCTGAGCCACCACACCCGGCAAGGCAAATTTTTGACATCTCCTCTGTCCACAACCAAGTCAAGTTTTTGAGGAAGCCCCATTTGAGAAAACACATTGTTTTCTCTACATCTAATTTCATATTTATACCTTCCTTCCGGTTTGAGGAACGCTTTAAAAAAAAAAAGTTAACCTTATTTCTGTTGAGGGCCTATTTCAGTTTTTAATTGAGATTTCACTAGTGGGATAAGGGAATTTGAAAGAAAAATGCTGTGAAATCATGAAGAAACATTAACAGTCTATCCCTACTATAGAGAGGGGTCTGCCAAACCCAGGCAACTCAACAGTACTTTATAAAATTTCATACAGCAGTGTTAGCAACCCCCAAACAGTCCTTAACTGAGAGCAGTTATAAATGATCTTTTCACAACTTTTTAATGCCCTTTAAATGACATATGATCAGGCCCTACTGTAAAAAGGCACCTTTCAAACTAACAAAGCATCATAGCCACTTAGATATTTTTCCTTCCACTGTACATGTTAGAAAACAGAGACACTGAAATGCTAATTTGCCATGATCACACAGCATGTAAAATATAAATAAAATGTGGAACCCTGACTTAAATGAGTTCTATCTAAAAACTTGTGATCTCAGCTGAGTATGGTGGTGTGTGCCTATAAGTCCTAGCTACTCAGGAAACTGAGGTGGGAGGATCCCAGGAGTTTGAGAAGGTAGTGAACTATAAACACACCACTGTACTCCAGCCTGGATGACAGGGTGAGACCTGTCTTTAAATAAATAAGTAAATAAACAAGCAAGCAAGCTTGTGGTCTTAACCAGCTTTAACCTTTATTAACACATCTTCTATTCAATTTGCCTTATCTATTCCTCCTGTCTCTTCCAATTGTTCCCTAAAATTTTCTTTGGATAACATTTCTGCATCATCTCTAAGAGCTGAGACTCACATGCATTCAATTTTCATTTCCTATTACAGTATGATTTTTAAAAACCACAAAACACTTTATTTCGTTTAATATTTAAAGCAGAGAAAAATATGACATATTCAACTCTCTCCTCCAATGCAAAATAGAAATCACATCAAGAATATGGTAGGCAGGAAAAATAACCATATGGCAAGCCTGTGGCTATCTAGCAAGTTCAGTATACACCAAAGGGCAAAAGGGGGTTAAAACCACACAGCCAGAGACCACAAGAAACAACGAGATATATAAGACACAGGTATAGGAAAGTCAGTAATTTGTGACTTCCTCATTACTTCCTTTGTCTGAGACCCTGGCTAATTTTTAACAATGATTAACATGTAATGAAGATCAGACATTCTCTAGAATGGGATGCTAAGGAAAAAAAAGCAGCAAACACATCATTCCATCTTTCAGTTCTAGTGAGACAAGGATGCTATCAGCGGGAGGCTCACTGGCTGACTAGAACGGGACATTAAAATCTGGAATTAAATTCAGTGACTTCACTAGAGCTCATGTCTGGTCCCACAAGTTTTAGAATCAGAAATATATTTTTTTTCAACATATGCAAAGCAGCACTACTTCAACAGCACAGATTCCCACTGCCAAAGTCAAACTGTTGCCACTAGGTCAGAAAATCCCTCCTCATACTATAGAACTGTTTTTCCATGACTTCCAAGACTTATATGCCTCCAAGCCAAGTCTGAAACATTTCTCTTCTATGTCTGTCTTTTTCATTTCTAGAAATTCAGTTTGGCTATTTTTTTTTTTATCTTCCATTTCTCTTTAACTAAATTTCTAGAAATAAAAAAGACAACCAGCTAAGCCTCATTAGTGAGGCTGCTTTCTTCAGAATGAAGGATAATCAAAATAGAAGCCACAAAATCTTTGTCAAAAAATACAGGGAAAAAAATATGTAAGTACTTATTCAGATTCTTTTATTTTCCACATTGGAATGACTTAGTTTGCCTAATTTCCCAGCCTACAATAAAAGTGATAAATTATCAGTGTGTGTAAACTACTGAAGGTAAGCGCCCTGAAAGTCAGCAAGAGTGATAGCAAACAGAGCATATGGCAAAAATGGCCCAAAAATTAAAGCAGAAAAAGGAAAAACACAGCAGCCAGACACATTTAATGGAGAAGTAAGCAGTTCTTCATATTACAGGCCACTAAGAGTTCAACAACTAACCTAGGCTATGAGAATAGATTAGTTGATTTTTTTTTTCCTGTCATATTAGACCAATTTTATGGTTAAATACTTGGTTTAACAGAGTCTGGGATTTGTGAAATACAATAAATTCCATTCAAACTGACTAAAAAAAATTACATTAGTAAAGTTAAAGGAAATACCCATGACCTGGAAGTTTACGGGAAAAACTTGTTCAAGTCTTTCATCGAGGACAACTACATGGCTGGGCATGTTGGTTCACACCTGTAATCCTAGCACTTTGAGAAGCCAAGGCGAGAGGACTGTCTGAGCCCAGGGGTTTGAGACCAGCCTGGGCAATATGGTGAGATCTCGTCTCTGTGATAAATAAAAAAAATTAGCTGGGCGTGGTCATGCACACCTATAGTTCTGGCTACTTGGAAGGCTGAGGTGAAAGGATCGCCTGAGCCCAATAGGTTGAGGCTGTGGTGGCCATGAGCATCCCACTGCACTCCAGCCTGGGAGACAGAGTGAGACTCCGACTCAAAAAAAAGGACCACTACATGAAAGTGTTACTATATGTCACTTTACAAAGCATTATGGGTTCTTTTTTTAAAAACTTTGGCTCTACTAGCATTTTTATCTACTTGATTATATATTCTATAATATTCAATTTTTTTAAAGGCACAGACTTTTTTTTTTTTTTTTAATACAAGAAACTATCACTGAAAAAAGTAGAATTTACTGGCTAAAGGAAGGGTGGCAAGACAGGATCCTACTTGTTCTAACACCTCTTGCCTGCAATGGAGGCTCTGGAGGTATCAATGGAAAATCCTGGTGCTCCCACCATCAGATAGCACAAAAATTATTGGGATTAATAGCAGAAGTCATGAAAATTTTAAATACAGAAATGACAAAATTAGAAATGTATCCTGCCGGGTTCGGGGGCTCAGCCTGTAATCCCGTGCCTTTGGGAGGCTGAGGTGAGTGGATTGCCTGAGCCCGCAGGTTCGAGACCCGTCTGGGCTACTTGGTGAGACCTCATCTCTACAATAAATCAAAAATGAGCCGGGCATGGTAGCGCCCACCTGTAGTTCCAGCTACTTGGAAGGCTGAGGAGGAAGGATCGCCGGAGCCCAGCAGGTCAAGGCTGCGGTGGCCGGGAGCGGCCACTGCACTCCAGTCTGGGTGACAGAGTGAGACTCCAACTCAAAAAAAAAAGAAATGAAATGTATCCTTTGTGTAACCACCAATATTAACAACTGATTCAACAAGGGTTACCAATGGCGGCTGAAATCAAGGAGTAGAAGGTACTGGGAAAACAAGACGACACACTGCCTCAAAGCATTACCCCACAGACTTTTTTTTTTTCTTTTCATTTGGAGTCTCACTCTATTGCCCAGGCTGGAGTGCAGTGGCAACTCACAGCTACCATAGCCTCGACCTGCTGGGCTCAAGCAATCCTTCTGCCTCAGCCTTCCAAGTAGCTGGAACTACAGTCACGCCCAGCAATTTTTTTTATTTATTGTAGAGAGGAGGTCTCAGCAAGTTGCCCAGGTTAATCTTGAACCCCTGGACTCAGGCAATCCTTTCACCTTGGCCTCCCAAAGAGCTGGGATTAATGCTTGGGCCACCAAGGCTGGCCTCCCACAGATGTCTTAAGGGAATGAGATTACTCTGCAAGGGAGAAATATGGGAATCACCACGTGATCAAACTTTGCTGTATCAATATTGAACCTGACTTTATTTCCTCTGACAATATACAATAAAATGGGTCCATCATCTAAGAAGCTGTCTTGCTAAAAAACGTTTAATATAAATCTTATCATAGGAAAAACAAATCAGAAAAATATAAAATGTGGGCAGAACACACTCTAGGAAACTAGAGAAACTTCAAAAAAACCAGCTAGTGTCATGAGAAACAAACAAAAAAGGTAAGGAAATTGTTCTGGATTAAGAGAATAAAAGGGCAGAGGAATCAAATGCAAGGTACAAACATAACTCCTCAGCCAAAAAGTAAAATAGCTATAGAAGAAATTTTACAACTGGGAGTATCTGAAAATGGTCTATGTATATCAGATGGTGATATCCCATTGTTAAACCTTTAAGAGTGATATTAATATTTAAATTATATAGACAATCTTATTCTTGAGAGATATATGCTGAAAAGTCCAGTGTCATGATGTCTATTAACTTCAAGTGGTTCAACAAACAGAATAAATGCATGTATGTTTGTGCATGTGTGTGTGAGTAGTGAGGTGCATGAGAGAAAGCAAGTAAATAGGTGAAATACTAACAACTGGTGAATCTTAGATAAAGGGCATGTGGGTGTTCCTTTTAATATTCTTTCAACTTTTCCTCATGTTTAAATATTTTCAAAAACAACAAAACTGAAAGGGCAAGGTCATTAACATTTCCTGAGCACATAGAGGAAAGTAACAAATACTTTGCTGAATAAAAGTTACCTTGAAATGAAATGCTCAAAGAATAAACTGACATACATGCAAATTTGCCTAGAATTCCAACTTGCCATTTTTGAAGAGCACTTTCTTCCTGAAAATAGGATCTCTACCAAATCTTTATTTCTTGGAAAAGATGATATAAAAGGCTGCCTAAACTCAATCCAACTACTCAGAAGGAAGAATAAAGCAGGTGAGGTTATTTTAGGTATGCTGGAAGTATGCAGGAAGGATTATCTGTATTTTTCCTCATGCCACAGATCAAAACAATGGGAGAAGTCAGTCCATACTCAAGCAAAGAACATTCAAGTTGATCATCTTACCTTCTAAAGCCTAGAATTAGGCTGCCTCTCAAAGAATTAAAGGAGAAAGGGAATGTATTTGATTCCACTACAAAAGAAAATGAACATCATTAAATCTCAGACCAAGCAAATAAATAAATCAAAATAACCCTAAATTATCAATTTAACTGAAAATACATTTATAGCAATACCTTTTAGTCTCATTTTGGAAATTTTATTTTAAAAATGAAAACGTTTACATACTAAATTAATTAGATGATGCAGTAATATATTTGCAACTAAGCGATCTTTTAATGCATTTTACTTATTTTCATGAATATACAGATTTATAAATATTCTTTCATATAAATGGCAATTACTTATATACCAGCAGACTCCAAGTCATGATGCACTATGAAGAAAGAGCCTGAAATACCCTAACTTTTGTCCTTTAACGACAGTAGCTAAGAGGAAAGGTTCTTTTTTGAGTGGTGTTGGGTTTCTGTTGAATCATTCACACTTTCTCCTTTCATTTTCCACTATGATCAATAACCTGCATCCACGAAAGAGAGACAACCTAAAATCATAATAAAATAGGTCTTGACCTCTGATATGTAATTGACTTTCACAGATCTTTCACTTTTCTGAGCATTTATTTGTTCTACTACTCATTGTAGCATTTAACAGTCTGCAATATTGTATGCCCCAATGCTGACACTATAAGCCTGATTGCCTTACTGTAAAGCAGCAGGCCTTATGCTGATTTTTCACATAACCCTCGTCATAACTAGCAAAGGATAAGATCATAGTAGACATCGCCTGATTTTATTTTTCCCTATAATTGTATTAATGTGGTACCATATTATAAGTAACAGAGTTAATCTTTTCACTATAAATGTAATGTGGCTACTAAATGATACAAGATGAATGGAATTAAGGAAACATTCATAGTAAAAGCAAATTCTGAAGACAATAAATACATTTTAGGCAAAGATTAAGATGGCTGGTTTGATTTTTTTTTAAAATAACTCATTGGAAGAGTCATGGTCATTTTTAAGATTTGTTCAACTCCCCCAAATATAAATGTAAAAACATACACGCAAGGAGAATTATTTTAGATCGGCTGTTATGTCCCTTGAAAAAGGAACCCAAGCTTCCCAGAGGTTTACAACATTTGAAAATCTAAAAACTATTTTTAAAATGACCTACTCTTAGTCACTCAAGGAATTTTAAGGTGGACACAACCACATGCCTCTCAGCAGCCCTTAATTTGCTTGATCAAATTAATTTCCCATGCCTACAAACACAAGTGGGAAAATGCTGCCTGCTACCCCCAAACTTAATCGAGATAATCCATTTACTCTTCTCTACTGCCTGGCATTCCTATAAAGTCACGACCAACGGTGAATACCTATGAGCTACCCAAAGCAAATACCAGCAGTTACAGAGCTGAGAGCTCTTCAAAGACTCAGAAATCAATGAAGCAGGGGCAGGCGCTGACAAGAGCCAGCTCAAATATTCTTTAGTCTTAAAGTTCCCCGGCATTTTTCTATTTCAAATTTAAGAAGCAACCTTTTGAAAAATGTATTTTTATACTATTCAAAATAGTATTTTACAGAATGCTGTCAAGTTTTTATTTATTAAAAAGGTGACCAGAAACATCTCAGCCAGCTGGAAGGCTGCTGAAAAGAGCATCTAGTTTCCTTAGCAACAAACAAGAGGTTGACAATGAAGCGGAATGGATGGTACAATAAAAGGGAAAGGCGGCTCTCATGTGTGCACCTTACAGCCCAGATTTCTCTGCTAATGCTCCTGTTTCTATCCTGTCAGTATGGAACATCTATATACTATACAGAGTGGAAGGCAAAATCAATACACTCAGATGGCAGCCAGCATTACAACCCAACCTTCGACTCAAGCAACTGTACCCATATCAGTCATCATTTCTCATACCAAACACTTTGCCTTTCTCTTACAATATTATAGTGAACTATTGTAATGACATATACACAGGCAATATATACCAATAATCTGGTTTTTACAAAGCTTCCATCTATACAATTTATATATATATAAATGAGAGCTTAACTTTTAAGATTTTTAGGAAGTTAAAATTGACTTTGTTTTGAAATGATGTGTTTTTCATAAGGTCTAAAATACTGTCAAGTAGCATCACAGATATGTTAAAAAATAAGAACTTTGAGGGACATTTTATTTACTAATTAAAAACAAAATGTGAGGCCAGGCACGGTGGCTCATACCTATAATCTTAGCATTTTGGGAAGCCAAGGTGGGAGGATCATTTGAGCCCAGGAGTTCAAGACCAGCCTGAACATAGTGATACCTTGTCTCCACAAAATATAAAAAAAAAAATTAGCTGGGCACAGTGGCACATAACTGTGTCAGCTACTTGGAAGCTGAAGTGGGAGGATCACCTGAGCACAGATGACTGAGGCTGCGATGAGCCATGACCATGCCACTGTACCCCAGTCTGGGCAGCACAGTGAGACTCTGACTCAAAAATAGATTAAAATAAAGTGCGGTATGACGAAAAAAATTAAAGTTAAAATCAGAAGATCTTACTTCTTGCTCAAATCACTAAACTTGGTCAAATCATTTAACTTTTCTATGCCATTCGTCATCTATCCATTGAGGTAATTCTACAAACATGTGATGAGCATTGTAAAGCCCCCCAGCATTTTTAAATGTTACATAAACATTTGCTGGGTTTTTGTTAATGAAGACTAGAAGATGGCTTTATGAAATTTATCAATATAACAGATGCTAGTTTAGAAAACACTTTCAGATGCAGTATCTCATCTGATTTTCATAACCCCCACAAAGCAGATAGCTAGTACTATCACATTTAATAAAACTGCAGCAAAGAGAGGTCAAGAGACTTGTTGCAGGTCATATTATTACTGGTTGAATTATAAAGAGAACCCAAGTCTTCAAGGTCCCCAGTCTAACTCCATTCTATTACCATATTATATATATCCAAGGTCCTTCCAACTTTAAATTACTTTCAAATTATCTATAAGTTCAACTCAGAAACTATCTTATCAGTCCAGTTTTAACAAAACATATAAAAACTTCCTTGCTTTCACTGCATGAAATACCTTGCACATCTTCAACAGTAACTGAAATAAACATCTGCCAAGTTTACTGCTAATGTTGCATACTCACAAAATGATAAAACATAGTCTAAGTTCCCATTTACTGCTTCACTTCTCAATTCAGCTTGAGAAAACGTATGACTTTTAGGTAGGCATTCATTGTCCTAGAAATAAAGCATATATCAATGACAACATGCCTTAGTTAACAATATTGTGATATGCCATTTAAATTTTCTGTTTCCTATTTCTTTGTAACATCATATTCTGTGATAATTCATCATTTAAAAAAATCATTTTCTAGAACTAAGGTAGATAATTGAATTTTAGCAAAGATTCTGAGATGGATTTCCAACATTCCAAATTAAACGCCTATCTTCAAATACTGATCTCTTACCTTCCTTCTAGGAAGAGTTTACCACTGAAGACACTAAAATAAATCTCTTATTTGAGATAAATTGAAAATTCAATGTATCTAAAACAATATTTTGAGGGGTTAGGTGCAGTGACTCACACCTATAATCCCAGCACTTTGGAATGCTGAGGTGGGAGGACTGCTTGGGCCTGGGAGTTGAAGACCAGCCTGGGCAACCTAGCCTGACCTTGTCTCTACAAAAAAAAAAAAAAAAAATCAAAAAATTAGCTGGCTTGTGCCTTGTAGCCACAGCTACAATGGAGGCTGAGGTGGAAAGATCACCTGAGCCCAGGAGGCAGAGGCTGCAATGAGTCACGATCTAGCCTGTGCCAGAGTGAGACCTTGAATCAAAAAAATAAAAATTAAACAAATACATCAAATGATATTTTGGAGCATGGAATGAGGTAAGGATCAACTAAATCTGTTCCAACATCATTTGTTTATTATGTATATGAACCAAAATTTAGTGCAAAAATATTTATTGCATCATTTTATAGTAGCATAATACTAAACACTACCCAATCAAAAAATAAGCAATGAATAAAATAACTTATGGCATATCCATACAATAAAACAGCAAGTAGGCATAAAAAATATATTTATGGAATTAAGTACTGTTATGGAAAGGCACCAAATGGAAAAAAACACGTTGCTGGAGAATATGAACAGTACCTAATCCTCTTTTGGCAAAAAGAGATTTCCCTAAGCATACTCACATGTGAAAGAATACCCATGCTAAGCAAGAATGGTCTTATCACTTACTTGCATTTTCTAACTAATCAACAAACATGTATTACACAATTTTTAAAATGTTTATAAAAGAATGCATTTTTTTAATGCATAGCTGAAGACAAAAAAGTATACCAGCCAGATGCAGTGGCTCATGCCTGTAATCCCAGCACTTTGGGAGGCCGAGGCAAGAGGATTGCCTGAATTCAGGGGTTCAAGACCTGCCTGAGCACCATGGCAAGACCTCATCTCTACAATAAACCAAAAAATTAGCTGGGCAAAGAGGCACATGCCTGCAATTCCAGCTGCTTGGCACCCTGAGGCAGAAGGATCTCCTGGGCCCAGTAGGTCAAGGTTGCAGTGGCCATGAGTGAGCCACTGCACTCCAGCCTTGGCAACACACAAAAAAGAAAAAAAAAAGAGTCACAAAGTTACTTCAAAATATTCTTTTTTTTTTGAGTTGGAGTCTCACTCTGTCGCCCAGACTGGAGTGCAGTGGCCACTCCCAGCCACCGCAGCCTCAACCTGCTGGGCTCCGGTGATCCTTCCGTCTCAGCCTTCCAAGTAGCCGGAATTACAGGCATGCGCTACCATGCCCAGCTGATTTTTTGATTTATTGTAGAGGTGAGGTCTCGCTGCCCAGGCGGGTCTTGAACCTGCAGGCTCAGGCAACCCACTCACCTCAGCCTCCCAAAGGAAAATATTCTTTTTTAACAGCAAAATATATATAGTAAAGCCTCCATTAAGACCTCAGGAAGAGAGGTAAAGACACGCAAGACATAAACCCTAACACTTTAAGATGTAATCATTTTAAGGAAAGAAAGGAATGCTAACATCATTAGAAAAACCAAGGTGTTACGTAACTGGCTAGGAAACAGATCTTTTCAACAAAATATTACTTATCAAGTATGCGTTGCTCTGCTATGTTGTTCCTAACTGGACAGCACTTTGTTTTAAAAGTGGAAGATATCCCAGTTACTTGGAAGGCTAAGGCGAAGGATCAACAGAGCCCAGCAGGTCAAGGCTGCGGTGGCTATGAGCATGCCACTGCACTCCAGCCTGGACAACAGAGTGAGATTTTGACTCAAAAAAAAAAGGTGGAAGATGCAACCCTTGCTGATCCAACACACTGTCCAAGTCAACATCTTCATATACCTCTTTATTACACTTGCCTATTCCAGTAAGGACAAGAAGTATTTGCCAGGGAAGCAAAACTTTGGGGTCAAATAAAAGATTATTTTTTAAAAAAAGAAAATAGTATATATCCTTGTAGTGCATTTCTGAAAACTCATATGAAAGTGAAAAACAATATTCAAAAAATGCAAATTGGAGCCAGGTGTGGTGGCACGTGCCTGTAATCCCAGTTATTCAGGAGGCTGAGATGGGAGGACTGCTTGAGCTCAGGAGTTCAAGTCCAGCCTGGACATCACATCAGATTCCATCTCTTTAAAAATAGTAATAATAGCCGGGCTCGGTGGCTCAGCCTGTAATCCCGCGCCTTGGGAGGCTGAGGTCAGTGGATTGCCTGAGCCCGTGGGTTTGAGACCCGCCTGGGGAACTTGGTGAGACCTCATCTTTACAATAAATCAAAAAAAATTATCCGGGTGGAGTAGTACACACCTGTAGTTCCAGCTACTTGGAAGGCTGAGGCGGAAGGATCGCCAGAGACCGGCAGGTAGAGGCTGCGGTGGCCGGGGGCGGCCACTGCACTCTATTCTGGTCGATGCAGTGAAACTCCATCTCAGGAGAAATCATAATAATAATGGTGATATCAATTGATGTTCATTCTATGTCCACTACTAGGTGAAGGCTGTCAGAGAGCGAGGGCATGGTGAGCCCAGACTCCGAACTGGAGGCCCGGAAGACAGCTTGTGAGAAGATGA